TTTGGAATACAGATCCGCCGCCATCCTACATTGCTTACATTCGTAAATGTACGGATTGGGCGTGTTATCCCAAACAGACGATTTACTTTTCGCATCAGGAGCCCGAAACTTGTGCGGTGTGCTCCGGATGCAGTTCAATACAAGCTGGCAAAATTGCTAAAAATTCGCTTGAGCGAAACGCCAAAGGCGTCGTGTATGTATTGCAGTCGATGTACGATATATCATGTCCGCTAGTCGAACAATAGGAAGGATGTGGCTATTCGCCTGCTTTAGGATATAAAACGAACGATAGTATAAACATTCGGCATTATAATACTGACTTGGGCTACTAAAAGATGGTTGCTGGTTTTTTAAGGAATTACACCGATGGAGATCGACAAACGACAGGGATGAAGCGCCAAACCCTTCGGTATCCCTGCTGATGAAACACTTTACTTGGAGAACGCCACACTTATGCAAACATGTACCGGACGTTTCACAAAGTACCCGCAGAAACACTGATGCAGTTGGCCGCCGGTACCTCAGGACATCAGCAATCGAAGCAAAATACAATGCATGATGGCCCCGAATGATCCCGTAAGTTCACAGAAATGACATGGACATCTAGCCCTCGGTTCGGTTCCCCGGTACGGTTTCCCCGTGCATGTGACAGGTTTGACGACCATCTGTCCTACTTTCCAGAACGTTGTCCGGCGCCAGACGGTAGACCGTACTCTTCCACGTGCGCCGTTGGATCGTCTGCATGTACGAATTCCACAACTTTAGACAGGATAGAGGGTGCTGCGAGCCAGTGTCTGAGAGTGGTGAACAGAACGCCTCTTGTAGGCGTCTTCTGCACTGTTTCGTTATCTACTAGCCCTTGAGACAACCAAAGGCCGTCCAGAGCCATGTTGGCAAATTGCTCGAATGGTAGCGCAGACAGACGAAGCACTCATAAATTGGACCGGACGCGCGGACAGTAACAAGATCACCTGGCAATGACGAATCCCCCCGGAGTGACCTACTATTCTACAAAGTCCTGACTGAATCAAGTCATTCATACGTACGGACCATAGGTCATGTAAAAATGGAAGTCCGTCGACCTATTCTCGGTAAGATCCTCCCCAGCTGGCGTTTTCAACAGAAGCACCCAGGGGGCATATAAAGTGATATAAGCGTCCAAGCTGGGTCAAAAGTGCACGTACGGGACATGGTATCTAGAGTGTATGCAGTGAAAACATTCTGGAAATTGGAGAGCCTTTTTGACATCACAGTGGCAAGCAGCGTTCAGCAGACTGAATCGTGATTGGCTGTTGGGTCCAGGCCTTCGAATAATGGGAGCACTTGACGCTGGGCTGGCAAGAAGCCCGGTCTTATGACCCAGCACTTATGGCCCTAGGTTTTTTGCCATCACAGCGCTGCACCAGACGGAAATTGGACACTGACCCTTACTTTCTCAACTCCGCTTCCGAAAACCGCCCCACCCAACGAATAGCACTATTACTATAACTTCGATTTTTCATTTTTGTGACCTTTGAGGAATTCATGAAAGGCTCCGTAGAATTTTAATAACAAATGTAATGTTTTACGTGTACTACAACAGCTTTTTCAAGCGCTTGTTCCAGTTGCGCTCCGTCTTTGCCTAAGGTGTCACATTTTTCAATGTAAGCCCGGGGACTTGTTTTCTTCATGCATGTGATGTGAGTGTTGTTGACACAGATCTTTGATACACACACAGTGACCATGTGCAACTATACGTTTAGAAACGAGGTATTTATCGCACGGGTGCAGTTTGTACGCGGGGAAACAACGAGCAATTTTGAGTGAGGTATTGGCATCAGCACCACCCAACTGTAGATCATGGCCGAGGTTTCATAGACCCTCGGTGTATGAAGCGTGAGCCTGTGGTTGGCTGAACCGATCATCTCGAGTATTCAAAAGCATGCCCTTTTTCGTTCATATCAGTGGATATCAGTTAGATTCACGTTAAGTAGCATCTTGGGGTGACAGGGTCTTTCCCTAACCAACATGTGTTCACTGCCTCATGCTTTTCAAACTATGAATGGGATGATGCACTGGTCGGTTAACGTCTCTAGGACAAATGATTCGGATGCCTTAAGTTCGCTGCTTACGTCACTGACGCTTGTCGTATATTCCAGCACCTCCAGCCTATAAATACGGACGAGTACGTTCTTTTTTATGGAAGACGGAATTCTACCCCTGTTAGACATTGGAGTCTCCGGTGAACACTGTATCATTTCACTACCCGATCTCATCACCTCGTCATCATGGACAACATAACATCAATGTTCAGCACCGAGTTTTTGCCGCTGTACGGCCACAATTTATTTATGGTTAAGGAAGAGAATAAAGGTGGATGGGGAAGAAACTTAGTTCCAGCATACTACAATAATCTCGAGCTGTCTACACCTCCATACATTTGCAGCGCCTTCAACCGTGCGCAATGGAGACTACGCGGATGCTATCCTAGAAAGCGAGTCGCATCGGCAACACCCAGACTTCTAGTCGCCTTCATGCCCCTCTGCTAGGTTAAACGTTGGCCACCTGTCAGCTTGCGCCAATCCGAATCGTGCAGGGGGAAGAGCACTGTTCGGCAATCGATTATTCGGTATGCACAATACAGGGCCTAACCAAAGCAGCTTCTGGTGCTGTACAAATACTTCGATGGAAGTCCCATTTCACAGCCGAAGGCCCGCTTTCTACTTAATTCTCTACGTATTCACTGACAGCAATAGCTATGGTTATGAGGTAGCGGTTGCTGAAGCCGTGAAGATGCCTCATTTTGACTGCTCGCACCGCCTATGCCTCACGGCTGTGCAACAAAATAGCCCGTACTGTAGCCTTTTACACACCGGTGTTCCATTGCCCCACTTGTGAAACATTGGGTTGAGAGGCCTAAGTTTATCAACTGGTGACATGCTGACAGCGGCATCAACAGCCACTGTGCTGGCACCAGAATCGATTTACACGAATGCGAAAGGATCGTGTGTATGAGCTAATTGTGGGCGCCGTCTTTATAGTTGGCAGATTCCGAAAACCTTCGGCATCTCCAGACATTCGATCATCAGTGCCTTCGCAGCATATCGTCCGTTCGCTGGCTACAACTTACTCTTCACTAAATTCCGCACAATAGAGTGCCTGGTAATACCTCAGAATTACCAGAGTACAGGTACGGCAGTGAAGCATCGGTGTTGAACACTGATGTCATGCTGTCGATGGTGATGGTGATGATGATGATGATGACCAGAGTAGCAGATCAATTAAACCTGGCTAGATTTTGTGTAGCGCATGCCCAATCACCGTCTACTATTTTCCACTCGAACTCTTTTTTGGCGGAAAGTTCTTGCGTGACAGACCATGAAGTGGCAACGCGCACTGAGGGTGTTTCCTATCAGACTGAACGCAGTTGGATCTTTGCGCCTTCCACGTTATTCTCTTTTCACATGGTTAAAAGTAGTACTTAATCGGTTTGTCACTTCCTAATCAAACTCCCTGGGTAAGGTTTGTCCATCGTATGCTCAACCCTTGTTGGGTGAGGATGTTAGGTCAACTTCACCGGTTGTGTCTTGTCCATTCAATCCTGAATCGTGCTTATCTCAGAGCCGATCTAAGGGGTTAGCACTGGATTCTTGATTGTCTTCATCGAGCTATCATGTTTTCAAACGTAGTTCCCGCCTGTGCTTTTCGCTCTTCATCAGTATGTTTTCTTCCACTAGTGTTATACTAGTTATGCAATACCGCCTCCATCACCGGTATCATTGTTAATCATTACTATATTGGATTCGGGACTTGGTAGGGGATTAGGCCGGATTAGGGGCGAGATAGCCCAGTGGTTAGATCATGAATTTACTGAGCAGAAGGCCCTTGTTTCGAACTCGACTTCTGCATCTCGACTTATGTCTGAGCTTGGGCAGTGTTGAAGCATCCCAATCCTCATGCTTCCTTCGGGTGGCATGACAGCTAGACACTTAAAGGGTGTCACAGCTGAACGGGTTTGATTTATTTAGCGGATTGGGCTTACTATGGATAGCGATCTCAGTCGCTTTGGTATTTGGCGCCCCAGATTGGGACTCCAAAACGGAGCACATCCTTAGTTGCTTACACTGATAGGCGGCCCAAATGCACAGCGTTGCACATGCATCCACGCTACTGGCCATCGTGCATAACTATCCCTGTCGGTCGCACCATTACCATGGGATTAAACGGTCCAGCTTTAGCACCCTTTCGGTGCCTAACTGCCATGCAGTGAAGCATCAGTGGCAGCACTGATGTTGCTGTCTTTGATGATGATGATGAGCTGCCATGCCACTCGAAGGTTGCACGAGGGCTGGGATACTGCCAGGTTGCCCAAGCCTAGACAGGGGAGTCGAGAGGCAGAGGTCGGGTTCGAACCACGGACCTTCCGGTCAGTAAATCCGCGCTCTAACCGCTTAGGCCATCTCGCCCCCCAAATCGCTCAGCTGCAGCACCTTTTCGGGGCCTAGCTGCGATGCCACACGAAGGAAGCACGAGGGCTGGGATACTGCCAGGTTGCCGAAGCCTAGACAGGAGAAATCGAGAGGCAGAGGTCGGGTTTCAACCACGAACCCTCCGGTCACAAATTCGCGCTCTAGCCACTTGGTCCATCTCACCTTGGATTAACAGTTCAAGGATAACACTTTCAGTTTCACGTCTCCTTGCCCACACTACCTTCACCACCATTGGGTGGAATTTAGGTAGCTGAAGCGACTGTACAACATGTACGTGCTTCTTAGGTGTTGCTCTTCGTATACAGCCTGTAGGTCCTTCGTAGTTGATGTAGTTCGTTGTTCTCCGCAGACGCACCGGAACGCTTGTGCCCCAATGATGCGCTGTAGCGAGTGTTAACTGTGATTATTTCATCGAGTACGCAGACGGGAACACGTATCTGGGTTCGGGTCCACAGGATCCTTTTGATCAATCTTTCCGTAGAAAACAGCGAGGAGCAACCAGCCCCTACCTTGCTGTGTGAAACGGTGGCACTTTAAGTAGTGTTTATCAACAGAGTCATCTTTAAGATTTAGCGATTTCAATTAATGACAGTAGCATTATAGACCACAAAAGATCGCCATTTCTGGCATCGTTCCCTATTCCTTCGATATTGTTCGCACACATGATGCTGAAGGAATCAGTTCAGTTGCTGTTATAGGCTGTGGACCTTTGGTGAACTTGCCATCATTCAGGAGGGTCATGTGACGATTGGAACTTGAATGCTATGTTACTAAATCTCGGTTTTTCCTTCGGGTCTTGACAATTGGCTCTTCAATCTGAATACTTCTGTGCATCTTATGACTGAAATAGTACAACTTGTAGCATCTAGTCCCTAGCTGTCGCTGCATTTACCGTGCCTTTTGTACCTGTCGACCAATGGTCAGCCAACGAACTGGCTATGGTGCACAATAAGTGTCACCTGTAAAATGCCTTTTCTTCACGGCTTTTGCGTTTTACTTGAGTCATAGTTTTTTTCTCTTTATTCATGCAGATAAGTAACAGAACAATGTTTGACAAACGCCAGGATATTTTCTTCCCAGGTATGTTGTATCGGATTCCCACAAGACCTTCTTAGGCGACTCTATTGTGCAGAAGGATGACAGACATAGATGTGGGCCGTTCACACACATATCGGGTGGCCAAATAAGAGCCAGTTGCATGGGGCGCACCAAGCGGTGTACCTCAGATGGTGTGGTAATGTTGATTCTCGCAAATTTTATTCTCCTAGACCGTAGTAGAGCTCGTGCCACTGAAAACCCCGGGTGTTGTCCCATATGCCGGTGCAATTGTTCTGGCCAAGGTTGGTGAAATTTATTTACATTTTTCCGATCATCCGTGTTTTGTCATAAACAATCCAGTAACAGAGCTGTTCCTTCTACATCCACATAGCTTACGATGTATAAAGTACCGTCTTTACGTGGCCTTCCCTCTCTAGAACTGTCCAACCTGTCACCCGCTTTCCCCGTTAACGGAGTTTTAGATAGAACTTTCTAAATTCCCATTGCGATGAAAACCGACTCCTTCAGCCCCAACAGAAACCACTTGTGCAACTCATGATTCGAACAAAAACCTCGCGTACTTGCTTGGTTTCGTGCAGAAGTTCCTAGTTTTGTTACATCTACCAAATGATGTCGCAACACATGCATGTAAACTGATACTTGTGCATGAACTGTGAATATTTAAAACCCGCTCATGTGCAAAACTAGCACCGGTTGCAAAACTGTATCGATCCCAGTTTGTGCTTCATTTGCATGAACTCCGAGATATCGCGCAACAGAAGTCTCCGTGTTCAGTAAAATACGGTCAATGAGCTATTATTTTAGTTCATATACTGATGTACATGACTGGTGTCACCAAACCAACCAGATGGATCATGATAGACGGGAAATTTGGCTGTGACTAGCCCACAAACATTTTATTTCGTTTGCCACCAACTCATATGGGGTGAAATTATCAGGAACTAAGGATGTTGCAGAAGAGTATTGTGCAAAGGACCAGCCGGATATGTCGCTGATATAAATTCGCTACCCATAAAGGATGTCTCAACCCCATCGATGACAGGAAAAAGTTCGAAACAGCTCTACATCCAGTTCAACGTCCTGTTGGTTGTTAAATATTTCGAGTGTTCTGCTGATTTTATAGTCCGTGCAGCATAACTGCCCCTCTGTGAGCTCCAGGGATCGAGCGCACTATTTGCTGATCTAATAGTCTCGAAGTATTGTTGTACAACACTGAAATGAAGACCCCTTATTTCTGTTGAAGTAAAATGAAGACAAAAAGCTTTTCTCTGTTGAATGTTAAGGAAATCGACTAGCATTTTTGGTCGTCTTAAAAGCTGATTACGGCTTCTCGATGACAGTTGATGGAGATGGGGAATACACAGTAGAGCGGTATGCCACAAAAGGATTATTTACACAGAAATGAACTGAGGAACATGCTAGAAACCACGTCATAGCGACTGCCCTCTCTAGAGCGACAGATTTGGCTCGCCCAAGGGGTGAGCACTCCCGTGGAATGAGTATTGTGTTGCCTGGAAACTATGCTTGCATTCTGCTTAAGCCACAAATACTTTTCGCAAAATAAGTATGGGGCCAAGTGATACTGCTTGATGAAGCTAAAATGTCAAAATCATGATTTTAGAAGACGGAATGACAAAAAAAGAAAGTGACTTCAGTTCATTGTAGTGTAGCTGTTTTTACCCCGCTCATCTTATGTTCGGCACTCTTTCTGGAAATCTAAGTTCTGGTTGTGGGTGGTACTCATTGTGGCTGGAGTGAAGCAAAACTACTTTATAAATAATCCAGCAAGTCTGCAACTGTGTCAACGTGTGATTCACTTAAAGGACACCGTTCATCATCATCGACGACAGCATAACATCAATTCCGAACACTGATGCTTCGCTGCCGTACAACCCTGATTTATTTGGAAGGCCTTACTCTGGAACTAAAAGAATAAAAGTGGATGGGGAAGGGACTTAGTGCTAGCTTACCACGATCATTCCGAGGTGCATACACCTCCAGACACTCATTCAATCAATCTGGTTAGAAACTGACAATACGAACGCCATTGACATCGGTTAGCAGCCATATCCTGCAGCGCTCCAACCAGGCGTAGTGGGGATGATACGGTCCCCATCCTGGTAGGCGAGTAGCACTAACAGCACCACAACGTTTCGTAATCTCTCATACTCCTCTGCCAGGTCAAGGGTTGGCCATCTCTCTGCTTCCGTCACTCCGTGTTAGCCACGTAAAACAGCACTCTCTTCGGTAAAGGGTTCGGCATACGCAATACATGGCCTATCAAACGCAGCTTCTGGTGCTGGGCACACAATGGAAGTCCCGTTGTACAATCGAGAACGCACTTTATGATAGCCTCGCTAGGGATTCCCCGACGCCAATCTGCACGGGCTATGGTCCTGAGACAACAGTTGTCGAACATTCGAAGACATCTCATTTCCGCTACTCGAGCAGGCCAAGTCTCACGGTCATGCAACAAAACAGCCGTACTGTAGTTTGATACACACGTCCCTTGAGATTCAGGGATATACTGCTTTGCCGCCATAGGTGTCTCAAATTAGCCAGCGCGATTCGAACCTTGCATATTTATGTATTGTCTTCATTTGTTACACTTCAGTCAGAACTACTACAACTTCCAAGATACGTAAAACGCTCCACAACATCGATTGCATATCCCTGGATTGCGAGTAGCCTGTTCGGCGATGATGTCGTCGGTCGGAAGGTTTTTGTCGCAGGCTGTTTGAACACCAGGGCTTTGAAGACCGTGCAGCGTTTGTCTCATTATTTCATTGATCACGGAATTTAAAATGGACGGAATGAGTGGGTATCCCTGACGGACAGCACTTTGGGTACGGGAGGTTTTGGAGAGCTTCCTGTGTACTTTTATACATCCGGAAGTCTGATACTACAAATACCTTATTATGTTTACAATGTTCCGGGCCATTCCTTGATGCACAAGCGTATGAAGGAGAACAGATAGGTAGACTTAGTCGAATGTGCCTTGGGATTCCAGGAGCACTAAAAATTGTGAGTCGTTTTTATGCATGACGTTCTATCTTCTGAAGTACTGTGAATATGTGGTCATTGCCGAAATCCCGGTCTCGAGTCTGTTTCACGAGCCACCATAGGGCAACGATGCACAAGTAGAACCATTTATGTCGTTACAACCGGGGTCAAGTTGATCCCCCGGTAGTTACCACACTCTATACGAACTCCTTTTTTTGAAAATGGGCACAATATCCGACTCTCTCCAATTGTCTGGGGCAGTCTCCCTTTCCAAAATGCCAGTAAACGGATCAGACAAGCGCTGACTGAAGACTCCATCCCCATCTTCGAGCAATGCAAGTGGAATTCGATTCTTGATAGTTTCCCCCATAGGCGATTTCCGAGAGCCGGTCGCGTGGATCAACTGAAATAATCCTTAGTTATTCACGGCTTTTTGGGCCTCTTCCATTTCCTCAGCCTTCAGAGTCCACCAGACTTCACGGTTACTTTCACTTGACGCTTGATTGTTCGTCGTACCAAATTATGTTAGGGACTGGCGGAGATAGTTCTTCGAGACCTAAGCAGTGCCACTGTTTGGTCTGATATTTAGCGTTTGAGTGGGTCTGGTCGTGCCATGCCATGAGCAAAACTCTCAGCACTGTGCAAAGAGTTGTTGATGCCGTCTCAGTATGTATTCACGTTTGCTGGGGAGCAGTTGGAAGCGACTCCAGGGGACGATTCTGGTAAATTCGTCTGACATCCGGATCTGCGAATCTCTCAATTTCCGAGCAATCGGTTCTCCTTACGCGGCCCTGAAAACGAAGGAGGGTGCGAATCCGGTTAAGTCCGTGGTCGGAATCCACAAATGTGTTCCAAGACCACTGGCACTTAGTTGTTGATCCGCGCCGTAGGTAACTGATGACAGTGTGACCAATTCGAGTTCATAGCCGTCCCGCCGTTGGAGGGCACCGTGTGGCCAGACGACTTCGGCTGGCAGTACATAAAAACGGCCTGCGGTCAGCACACAACTGGCGCGAGCTTTTACCACTCTCCGCACGTACTGAGTTTATTTCCCATTGACCACCTAATTTAGTTTTATTTGCGGCAAGCCTGCTCACTTGTGCATTCAGATCTCCGGCAACCACCACGATATCTGAGTTTTTTACTCACCGCAACATGACACGATGAACAAAAATCCATTAACTTCCCGCTTGTGAGACACCTTCACAGACGTTGCCGCATAGAGACGACTATCAACGGGTATCCAGTCAAGCAAGCATTTTTCCGCCCGGTGATTTAGAACGACATCAACCCCTGTGCATCCCGCCGCAGCATCTTCTGGACCATCAGAGGTATGTAGCCGGAAGCGAGTGGAGACTCATGGGCTCAGTGTGTTTGCATATTGAATTCGTGTTTCTGAGGCACAGCACACATCAATGTCAATCGAGTTCAGTGTGGGATCATGGGAAGCTTGTTGACTTGCTTGCTTCAGAGTGCGGACATTGAGGGCGGCCAGATAAACTGGCGTCTAGGCCTGAAGATTGATTTGATGATCTCGGAAGATGTCGGCGCCATTTGACGAGCAGATGCTGCATGCAAAACCGATGCAAGACGAACGGAGTGATCAGTCCTAAGTGCTGCGCCTACAAAGGGAGAATTAATAATGGGGTGGGAATAGGGGGAAGAAAAAGGTTGTGAAAGAGAAAGAAGGGAGGCGTCAATAGTAGCCTGTTTTTGCTTACCCGCCTTGCTGTATGCAGCGAGTAAGGCGATCCGGCCGATGTTACCACACGACGGCAGATGTGGCATGAGTCTATTGTTAGACGTAGGTATCATTGTTGTACATGGGCTGGAATACTGCCAGTGCACCCACACTTGGACAGGAGGACGATTAAATTCCTCAACCAAAGCCTTTGGCTCCTAAGCCTAATCGCAGGGCAGCGGTGTTTGGTTGGAGATGCAAGTGCATTTCACTTTTTCCAGAACGAGTTGCCACAATGTTCCAACCCCCACTGTGGAGGACCAGGAGGCTGTGTTCGTCAGACCTGTAACCATTGACCACCCTGTGAGTGTCGCGGTGACATTCTCCAGTATAGCTCAATGGATGGCTCAGGTGCGCAAACCGTCACACCACTGTAAGGTCCAATCTCTTCGTGACGTCAGAGGTATCAGTAAATGTTAAAAAGCAAGAATGAACATAGCGCAAAGTATTGTTTTCGACTAAGTTCTGTCGCATCTTGATCGGTTCGGATGTTACGACCTCGAGCAAGTGAAATTGACTGGTAAATGATACTGTCCCATTTCTCCAGTCCGGCGTCTGTGGTGATAGCCTATGGGATTCAGCAAATGTAACGTAAACAGCAATGATTTATGCGCGTGGTTGTTGTGCACCAATTACCGAACTTGTTACAATCACTTGTCATTCGTTTTCGCGATTTCAGTTAATGGCCGAATCTCTTAGTAGCTCTCCAGTTTTATTTGTTTATCAGGCGGTAGTGGATCTGTCCACCATGCAGTTAGCTCGCTAGCATTTTGTCACCATGCAATCAGACATTGTAAATGGTTGGGCAACGAAGCGTCTACCAGCTAACTGGCAATGCTCGGCAAACAGATGAACTGGATCCTGGCCAAAAGCATTCGAGCTGTCCATGTTCCCACACATCACCGTCTTTCTAGTTTTCCTGATTGCTTGTTGGTCAGAAATAAGTGCGGAGCGATCGCGACACTGCTAATTGTACTCGCTTTTACTCTCCTCGCCCTTCTCGCCTTCACCCTCTCCACCTCACATCCAGCAACATTCGCACTTGGAATTTCAGCACAATAAACGTGTTAGGAGTTTGGATGATGCTCCTTTTAAATTATTTGGCGTAACGTAATGAGCGAGTAGATAAGTCCATCCACTGATGATGTGTTTTTGGGCACTCTGAAGGGTCAGCCGCTGTAGGATCGGGCGAATAGAAACTTTTTCACATTTTATAGGATAGGATTGGAAATGCGGATAGGCTTCCAAAGTTATTTTGAGGTAAGAGTGGCAGGAAATATTAGTAAATGGTATTGGCATGACAACCGATCCAAATAAGCTGGAATAAAAGGGATACTCAAAACCACCAGCCTGTCTCCACACTGTTTTTAGTCGACACATCCCTCTAAGGTGAGTGCCCATGGTACAACGACCACACAAGCTTTTTTCATCCCCGAAAACAATCATAAAGGGGCATGACACGAGGTGTGAGATTTAAATGAATATACTGTTTTCAAGTCGCGGAAAGCGAGCACGTGAGAGTGAATCAGTAGCCAGTCGCGTCGGGGTCAATTAATTATTTTTCAATCATTCCCGGTGATATTACTCAGCGGATCCGTGGTAGTTTCATTTTCACCTGTGCCATGCAAACTGAGACTTAACAGACGGGTATAAAAGAGACTACGAAGAGTTTAGGTGGCTTGGTACCGTCCGCTTCCCAGGATGGAATCCTTGTGCTCTCTCTGTGCTTGATGTCAGTGGCATTCATGCTGTCATTTTCTTTCCAGATTTTCTGATTGAGCGCTTGCAGTTGTAGGCACCTCGGGCTGCTTGTTATAGGCTAGCACCAGTTGCCTCATTCTCCTTTTCAATGTAAAGCTTTAAATATTATCATATAAACTTCGTGTTTTTACGGCACTGTCCACAATGATGCTGTCTCTGATGGTGGTGATTGTTGATGACGAGAGGTAATTATCTTACTATAATCCTCACAGTCTGTCAGTCTCCGTTCTATTCTTATCTACTGTCTAGTGTTGCAATCATTTGGTTTTGTTGATGGTTGTCACCAATAGTCGTTATGTTTCTCGTTGATTGATCACACAAGATGTCGATGGGGTGACGAACCCTTTTGTTGGGGATCTTAGTGAGTTACAGCTTTGTTTCGTCATCACCGAGCGTCCCTTGCAAACTGAATGTCGTAATTCTTTTAGACGGCCGGTGAGAAGTGGCACGAATCCAGGGAGGGTAAAACCTGATGTTTTGCGATGGCTTTTTACTTTTGTCTTCGCGTAGTTTCACACCGTTTACGGAAAAGCCGGTGTGGGAACCTGGATGAGTTCTTCCGTCTCTCTAAATCCTTATCTGTTGCCAGTTTACTTGTTACTCCAAGTAGGCATATCAATCACAAAAGAGTAGCGTTCAGCTGTAGGACCCTTTCGGTGCCTAACAACCATGCCAACGGAAGGAGGTACGAGAACTAGGATACTGCCAGGTTTCCCAAGTCTAGACAGGAGCAGTCGAGATGCTGGGGTTGGGTTCCAACCTTGGACCATCCGGTACGCAAGCTGGAGCCCTAATCCATGAGCTATCCCAAGCTCTGTATTTGAGTCGTGTATTATTAGCACTTTCCATGGCATTTCAACTAGCTACTTTCGTAATGTACAACATCCCTGCCACACTAACTTGACTTTGCTTGCGTGTGCTGCTACTGTTTGCAGTCTTTGACAGCTATTATTCAATGCTATGAGCGTACTCCCCCAGGTAGGGGGCGAGATGGCTCAGTGGTTAGAGCGCGAATTTACTGATCGGGGGGTCCGTGGTTCGAACCTCACCTCTGCATCTCGACTTCCCCTGTCTAGGCTTGGGCAACCTGGCAGTACCCCAGCCCTCGTGCTTGCTTCGGGTGGCATGTCAGCTAGGCACCGAAAGGGTGTTACAGCTGAACGATTATTCTCCCAGGTGATTTCCCTAGAACCATCCTGTCTTCTTGTCATTCAAGTTTGTTCGACTGGCGCTCATACCGATATTTATTGCTTATTCTTCAGGTTTCCAGTCTTTCTCGTCGTATAGTACGATGCGATGTCGTGGCAGTCGGGAATATTCCTCTTGCTGGTCCGTTTCGTGGCATGCTTCGTAGGGAGGACATCAGAGCTACCCAGCGAGACCAAGCCGAACCTGCTCAATGCTATCGACCAGGCGACTTGATTCGGGCCAGGGTAATCAATCTTTTGGGTCCCGGTTCCACACCAGAGTCTACTTTTCTGTCCGGGGAAAATGTTTCATCTGCGGCTGCTACCACATTGTTGGCTGCACGAGCCGTATCCGTTTCAGTGGGCGCCACCGCAGATATATCAGGTGGATTGGCATCTAATGCGGTCTGTCTCTTATCCACCGCAGAACCCGACTTAGGTGTAGTACTCGGGCTAGGACGAGCTCCAGACACGGACTTCGCTGAACTCCTTGGTAGCACGAGTGGCTGCCCTTTAATTCCGGTCAGCTGGACGGAAATGCTTTGTCCACACACCCTCAGTCGTTTCCCGCGAAAAGTTGCGCGTGTGTCGGACGAACTGCTAACACAACTTGTTAAAACTGAAATTGAATAGTATGTCTGTTGCACACTATTTCTTTTTATTAGTTATTGGGATGGCGAATGAGGCATCATTTCCAGGCTGATCGATCATTTAGTGCGTGTGATAATCTTTTTGGAGGTACAGTACCTGGCATTAATGTAGCAAAAATGGCAGAGGGGTAAGCTTAAATGAATTTTTTTGTTTATTCTCTTGTAACCAGTGTTAAACGCCATCTTATGCTGCGATGAGGATATTTTCCTCTTTTCCTCTTGGGTAACACTATGACCTGCCCGGACGAATATGGAGTGCGCGAGACAGCAACGCCTTTAAGCAGGCCCGATTTTTAGGTTGATACCTGTAGACTCTTTCAGGTTTATAGCCCAAAGATATGAGCTTATTGATATATCAGCGTGAGTGTCAAGTCACATGAAGTGTCTGTAACATTTTCAGTGTTTGTACTCCATTTGTATCCCCATGCAATTTCCTTAAGCGAATAGTCCTTTGGGAGGTTAGTAAAGGGTGCATCGTGTAGGCAGCATAATGGTCCTAACTCCAACGCGAAGTTAGTGAAACCGTAAACAAAAACCACCCAGTTGGTGGTCCAAGCGCAAAATAACTTTCCCGTGCAACGTAGTTTGACCTGGTCATATTATAGTCGGTTCGGCAGCTTTGTTTGCTGCTCCGTTGCTCAGTAGACGGAAAGGTTGAAATGAGCTATTATTATATCCACGAATGTTTCGTTCTGAAATCACATTCTGTACACATTCTGAAATCACATCTGCTCTTAAAGAAAGTCTTTGCATTCAGAAAATTCCGGATACCTCCTCTACCTTACGTATTTTGGTGGATTTTCAAAATCCCTCCAAAGAAACCACCGGAAAATGGAGTACTGAGTCTCTTCTGGAGGTGATTTTTTTTTTCGAGAGACTCGAGTGAGTTTAGGTTTGGAGTGAAAAGCCAGTATACTTTGTCCGGGGATATCTGACCTCTCTTTGGGGGCTACTTTGATGTAGTGTCCGCTTTGGTTGACAACAACGATATGTGTTATGCTGAAGCACCAAAACCAGACCCTAGTCAAGTATGTCCTTACAATTACTGTAGTTGATTAATCCCGTGAGAAAATTGTTTCCAACCAATGGGCATGTGAATACACTGCTTTTCTTTGTACGCATACACTTCCGGGGACACCGAAGCCAACTGGTTTGGCGTTGGCATGTGGCGGCAGCGCGCCCACAGACAAGTAAACCCGAAACAACTGGATACAACGGAAATTCGACACCCTAGCCGGCTGATCGATCTTTTGTTCCAGTGGTTGCAACTGAACTTCAAGCGAACATTCAGTGTTGGTTGTTTAGTCTACACTGCTTATCAATGTCCCTTATCTGATATTTGGCTGGGGATCCAAAAGAGCAGACAAGGCTGATAAGTTAAGCATAAGTTAAATGTATTTTGAGATGTTGGATACAAGTAACAAATTAGTGATTATAGGCGAAGCAGTTGGTCTTGGCTAGTTCATTCCCACCATTCCTTTTCACCAGAATGAATGTGAAGCACCGCCAGGTGGTTGAGCCGTTTTCACGGAAGTATGCACTTGTCTTTGACCGGGCGGCAAAGCAACTGAAAGGCAAACAAACGTCGGTGGTATTGCGAGATTGTTTAGAAAAGGATTAAGTAGAATACAGCCATAGAATACTTGTGAAATATATACCCCCCTTCGTCTAACTGTAGCGATTGTCCTCGAACCTTGGGGTTTAACCTCCCCGTCAGTTCTTTGCATCCTCGACCGAGCACCTATGACAGAACACGATACATGAAGCCTTCGCACTGCACTTGCAACAACTGGGTCAAACTCCCAGTTTTAGTTTTGACGACAGAGAACTACCAAGCAGTTTGTCTGACCGATCTTACCCATCGTTGCCAGATTCTCCACAGGTAGTGAGGATACTCCCAAACTGCTTTAAACATGATAACATAAGTGTTTTACTGGAATCCTATGCGCACAACCAGACTACGTCTGAGATTTGAATGAAATCCTGAACCACTTACTTGTCGGAGGGGTGTTTACCAACTGACCCGCTACAAAAACTAGTCCTAGGAGCCATTAAACCTAATGGACCAACAGTCCACTGGCAACATTAGGAGACCTGTCGTGTGCATTTCTCAACGGACTCCTTGTCCCCTTAGGTCTGATTAAATATTGATGTCGTGTGGACGACCTGATATTGCGTCCATCCGTTAAGCGGAGTGTCAACTATTCGGTTTTGACCATCAATGCTAACCCATCCGTCTGGATTTCCCCCTGATCCGTAGACTTCCTCCTGTTAAAGACGAGTTTCGTGTTGTACATAAAAGGCAAAATTACCCCAGAAGTACCTTTTGGGACGTTGTCATAGTGTTCTTTACGAAAATAGTGTGACTCCTTAGGTTCCGTCCCGTCATCGGTCTTTGGTTTACCATCCACGACTTTTCCCGCATATGGTTCGCGTGGAATTTTCGGGAATCCCACTACCCAGCAACTTTCAAGTGCGTTCAAACGGCTGAAAGCCATTTGGCTGAACGGTTTAAGGTGCAAATACTTCCCTTGTGCCTCCTGTTCCATGATGAGATTTTTGTCTTTTACCACCAAGCATCCTCTTAGAAAAACTAGGTCAGGTCTGGAATGCAGTTTTAGCCCTGAAAATATGTTGTGCACACCGGCTGGTACGAGCTGTTGAACCGCGTCATCTTCCATCTCCGTATGCCGACTCCACACAATAATGTCTGCATCACTGCCCACAGCGATTCGACCTTTTCGTGGGTAGGCGTTGATCAACCGGGCTGGATCCGTGCTCACTACACGGACAAATGAACACGGGTCCATCCCACCATTATTTTCCACTCCACAATACCATAGCACGGGAAGTCGGCAACCAAGAGCTGCTACCCCTTTTGGAATCTGAGCGCTGTTTTCAAGACCGAACGCAGCACGGACGTCTGTCCTAATGGCGCAGTGTGCAGACCCCAGAGTCAGTTCATCCGTTGCAGCCATTTGGGCCAATAATCTTTGACTGAATTTTATATCAGGGCGTAAAGGTGGATCACAGACGTATGCAGCTGCTATGGCCCAGTCTTTCGATTTGGTAAAGCACTCTTCCGGTTGGAGCGGCATATCCGATGCTGCTGCTACGGCCAACGGGGCCGCGATTGCTCCAATGCTTGTTTGCCCAAATATCAGACCACGACACTTGCTCCGTTGTTCTAAAAAGGCATTCAGTGCGGCAGCACTTTGAATTCGTGTCACTAACAGAGGGCATGCCTGCTCACTGTGAAATGCATTCAGACAAGCGTTCAGGATGGTGTCACCTTCTGCACTTTCCGGATGGTTGTGGTAATGTAGTTCAGGGCCAATTGTCGGATGAGAGGATAAAAGATCGTTCGTTAACGCATCTACTAGGTATGCCGGTGCTGTCGCAGGCACCATAGGTAATATTCCCAATTGTCGACATCGTCTGAATGCACGATATACCGACTGCTCTGTGAGCGCGTTACTGGTGGGGTTCTCCAAATCACTGCTGTATCCCATACTGAGCTGTACCATACACACTCCCTTGCTCACCACCAATTTTTCCAATTGTTGAGAGATCTCGGCATCGAAGCGTGGAAGACGAGGGCACGCAGCGTAATCGCACGCGAATTTTCCAGCACAGGACGCTTGGAATTGTTCGATTGCTTCCAAAACTGAGGCATCCGATTCAGTGTAGACCGTATTAACTATAAAGATTTGGAGATCGAAACAAACGTAATAAATAGAAACAGGAATTTAAATATTATGGCAACGAGAATCTGGTAATTACGAAGTAAGTGTTGCTTGTGAAAGTTGAGATTTTAGGAAGAACAGAGTTGTGGGTAGCTATCCTAGTTTTTGATTGGCGTTTTACCTGAAGGAGTAAGGGATTAATGTTAGTCAACTTAATGTAATTAATAGCTTGAGTGATCCTGACCGTCACAAACAGCTAAAAAGATACTGGCGCTATCCACCAACAGAATCACGGGAGGGCACTTGCGATTTTAACTGGAATAGACCAATCATCGTAACTACAGCTGGTGAATGTTCCAGCAAAATGTCAGGTGAATGGATCACATTTTGTGGAAAATCCCATCAAACCCATAGCCTTGTAAACACCAAGTATTTCACAAGGACTTACATTCAGTTAGTTTAAGATAATGGTTACTTATCAGCAAGGAGCATGAAACAACTCATTGGTTGAAACACGAGAATATTGACTGGAAGGTCTGTCATTTGAACTTGGTTCCTTTTTCGTTTCCTTCTGTTCAGGCTTGAACAACCTGAAATTCACCCAGTCCTTGTTATTCAATCGAGTTCTATAGCCAAGGGGCAAAACCCTAGCGCTCTACCAAATACACTGATATTGTTGACTTCCCTTTAGGATAGCTTTTTTATTGCCTACTGAGATTTCGATTGAAGATCACTAAAAGGGTGTATGAAGCTCCCTAAAAGTTTCCTACACGAGGCTCTGATTTGGTTATCACAGATGGGCGCAGGGGAAATGTCTGGGTTTCTGTCTGTTGACTTCGGGAACAACCGTATGTTCAGAATACTCAGGTTTGACGCAATTTTTCTTCCTGTGATTGTAAAGTGTCCCTTATTTCGTGACTCAAGTACCAGTACAACTACAAAATAGCAGTTATGTGAAACAGTGAAGATAAAAATCTATCACATGACTGGGATGCCTAGCCTTGGTTGATTGTTGGTCATTTAGGTCATGTTAACTGAGGTATCTCTTCGGAAATCAGGCAGATAGGTTCTTCTACTTGGTTATGTCCCTGAGGTTGCAATAAGAATCCACAGCTGAACTGTTGAGCTTGTATATTAAGGGCATGACAAACTACCCTGAATGAGCAGGTTGGCTTAGCCTAGTGCCCATCAAAAATTTGGAAAATTCGACTGATCCCTTACTTCTGAATTTTGGCTTTCAGTTTTTCTCTGGATCACATATTTTTGGCCTGTTGGACATACGTGAACGAAAGGAGTCTTGAACCAACAATGTGGAGTATTCGGACACCACATAACAAGATATTTAGTGAATCAGTTTTAAAAGTGCATTAACGTCTCAGACAAATACACTCATTTGCACAGAAGGCTGGTATTCACGGCTAACTCATCTGAAACTCTGTTGTATTTCTCGTTTATGATATTGTTCAACTGAGTGTGCTACACAAAGGCTGCCTCATGTTTCAGTTGCTGCGATATTCAAAAAATCACAGTGTGTTTTCATGAGGGAACTATCCACAAATTTGCTGACAGCTCTCCGACAGCCCACGAAGGGTTTCGCCTTTCTTTGGGCTCATCAGTTAGACAGTCCCCAATTCCCGTCGACATTATGTTCTACTTGGACCAAAATTACACAAAACTTGACAAATACACTCTTTTGAATGACAATGCGGCTTTCACAGGAGACACCTGAATCTCTCATTTACAATATTCTTCAGTCTGCTGTACAAAGGCCGCCTCATGTCTCAGTTGGTACGATATTCGACATACCACGACCGGATTCACCCTTCGTACGACCCATAAGTTAGCCTCGGTCTCTCACTGGCTGTCAATCTTTTGTTCTATTTGGACACCAAAGTGCACACAACTGGTGAGATAAAATCATTTGCATTCTGAGAAGCTCAAAAGAATCCATGCTCAGTCCCTTGTTCTTGACAGTCCTCAACAGTATACACTGCGAGGTCTCGAATATTGTACCTAGTGCACCATGACAAGGTCCGTTTTCAGCACATTCACTTGAAGGATATCATATATGAGACGTTAAGCTGAGGTTCAGTTGAGCCCTCCGTCAACGCCAACTTCATTTGCAGATGATTGTATTTCATGAACTAAATTTGTTTATTCTCTTCATCGTAAAAGGAATCTATGAAGGTTGAATAATCTCCCGGTGCAAAAACAAAAGGGGTAAGTCAGCCGTACTGGCGCCATAGTCGTGCAATCTCCTGAAGCTGGCAAACGCAACCATATGGCTGATATTCAAGGTGAACAATGACTGTGTGTGGTTTGTTTTCCTCTTTTCTGATGTTTCATACAGGCGCTCCAAAATCTTGATATTCTTGGGTAGCTTGCGGAGTTAAATCGTTCGTAAACTTTCCTGTCGATGTGCTCTTTGATGTTTCATTTTTCCAATCTATCTCGAATTCCACATAATTAAGGGGAAATTCTACTCAACCTGAAGTTGGGAACGGTATTTGTGTGCACCAGTTTTGAACTGATGTAACGTCGGTTACCTCTCTTTCTTCGCTGTGTCTGAACCGATATCTGCTCGATCAGATCCCTAGGTTGAGAAGGTATTCGGATCACTCATCGCGAAGTTGAAAATTATGATCTCGTGTTCAAAATTACTCATTGGGTTCCCTTTCAGACTCCCAAGGGTGGTTGGTAGTAATAAGGGGTTTTGTAATTCAGTGGTTTCTCCAAAGCAACCATCCCTATTGAAGATGGAAGTCCGTTTTTCCAGAGGGTTGATCACGTACAGGAGAGCAGGAAATCTTTGCTTCCAAGGTTTATTTTCTGGTTTAAAGCCCAACTGATTTCACTGCTGACTTTTCGTTTACTTTGAACTCTACAGCCGTAAAAAGTTTTGTCTGGTCATAGTGAACTCCGTTAGCCTCAAAAGTCCTGTACAGTGAAAACACCCATGAGCTGACAGCATAGTGAAACTAATGATGTAGGAAGCATATACACTCAGTCTAAATCATACCAAAGAAAACTCTTAACACTACGTCGTACTAGCAAGGAAATCAGCTAACGCAGAAAGACCGGAAGATCATTAGTTTGCAGGAAAAGAGTAAAGAACCATCTAACCATGTATTATTCTCGAGCGACATAATTCTGATGCATCTAAAGGCCTCAATAAATCACTTCGTTTCACCGTACACAAGTATGTAGATGTCGCTTTGAATGCCGCTCCTCTAATTCCCGTTCACAGCAGCAGCAGCTCCGCATTATCATCAGAAGCACTCCTAGAGGACTCATTGATTTCTCGTAGTGTGCACATGAGTACAACAATTTGACGAGTTCAGGTACCTCAGCGGACAAGTGAGTAATGAAGTAGGTTTTGATGTGAAAGGCGTGAATTGCTGCAATGTTCTGTTAATTTATCCTCTCCTCCTTTCTGCTGTTGGACACGAGGTATTACTTATTTTGATATATGAATGCATGGTCTAGAGCCTTGCTAACTGTGCAGTACTCACTGGTCTTTGTGTTAAGGACTCGTTTCGAACTGGTAATTCCTGACAGAAACAGGTTCCATCTTTGCAGATGCAAGTGTCTGGTTTGCTGATATGGAAGTTGTTTCCAGTCATCACTGATGATATAATTCCATCTGTGGCTGCAGACGACATTAAATTCACCTCAAGGGACACTAGATGCAAATCTATTTGAACACAATACACTCCCACACTGAAGTTTCCGTAGTTCGGAATTCTTGCGGTTTTGTATTTTTCTGAGTACATTTGCGGACACGGTAAGCCCCGTAATCCCAAATCTGAAATGTATGCGTTATCAGTCTGTGAAACTGGTGAAGCGGTAATACTTATTGGTTGTTACCACTCTGACTAGTACATCTGGACATTGGAGGACTCAATAGTGGAGCTCGTTACTACAATTAAGCAGGATGGGAGCGTCTCAGGTCATCAAGAGCTCATATCCCTCATTTCATGGAGATATGGAACCGACCAAATTGTAGAATTTATCTTCGGTCGACTGAGATGTCCTCCGGGAAATTAGCGTATTATTCGTAAAGATAGCCTTAACGGAGTTGATGGTTACTCTGGAAGAAAGAAGAAAGGGCGACACCCACGCACTTCTGAGCAAAAATGGAGTCATTTGTATAGGTTTGGGGACAAAGTGATCAGGGAGCTACCAATAAAATCTTGCCCAACGAGATGGTCAGTTAGGATAATCCTACGGTGTTTCCACGATGCTCTTCTACTTCATGTTGCCTTTAAGTCACAGAAAGACATTTACAAAATTTTCATTAGAGTTGAATGTATCAATGAACAATGTGGTGTCCATTGTATGTGTGCAGCTTCGGATGTTTAATTTAAAAACGCGCTGTAAGTTGTTACATGTACTTGGTAGTGATGAATTGGTTACAAGTTCACATTGGCAAATTTGTAGGCTCGATTGTCACTAATTATAAAAATAGTGTTCAAAATCATCCGGCTGATGCACACTTTTGGTGCATAGCTGCTGTGCCATCTGAACAAAGCACTAGGGCTGACTTAATTTCAGTTCCCCTAAGCCTGGGCAAGTGCAGTCGAGATGGCGGGGTTGGTTTCGAACCACGGACCTTTCGGTGAGTGGATTCGCTTCTTAGACACAGAGTCAACTCGAGCTCTACCGACTGCGGTCGTCCCAATGCTTTGTTTGCACATATCGTAAGTCCCAGAATCGGTCTTACCAGCTCGTGACAGAAGGTCATACTCGTTTCCAGCTCCCACAGAAAATGAAGAATGGACATCCAAATTACATCCAAGTGGTCTAAATTCGATCGTTTTCCGAAGTTTTATTACGGACGCTGGTCTAAGCTGAATGACTTACATGGACCCACCAAAGTTAATCAGTCAAGCTTCCCATTCTCCTGTTAAACTATAATTATTCGCTTTCTATGAACAGCTACACTGAGCACCCGTACCTAAGCGATATTCACTTGTATACTTGGGTCCTCAGACATACGTAATCGCTCCGCATGTTACTATTTCAGTGGAACAAAGTTTAAATATGGTTACCGTGTGGTTGCTTGACTCCGGAATACTCGAACAACTGGATGCACTTTTCATTTCGACACTTTTGTCCTTCAGACGTTAAAAATGCCTTGGGTCCTTTGTTTACCTAAGCCATACTTTTGAACATTGTGGAGCTTACTTGACTCCGCGTATTGATCTACAGCATAAATTTTTGAATATCATTATAAGTGCATCCAGATTCTCCCGCGATTTTGTCATTTTTAATGAGGTTGTGTAAGACTGAAACTGCGGCCGCCGCAGGCCAAACGGTCGTGCAACAAATTTGTATTTTCTTAAGCAAGTTGCAGATATACAATCAAAAGTCAAGCCAGAAATTCTAAGAGTGGCTCCTATTTACGCTCATGGTTGTAGCGCACACAATATATGCAACATATATATTTCTACTAGCTTTTCAGCAAGGGCTGTACGCAAACTATGCGTACAATCTCGTAAACGGATGAACCGACATCCCACATTTCCAGCAAGCTACACTCAGTGCATGAGGTCTAACTGTTACCGCTCAACGGCGACGGCGAAAGCTTAATTTTAGCAGAGTCGCGGCTTTGTTACGTATCATGCGGGAGAAGTAAAGCCACAGTCACACGACGGAAAAACGGACGCTAGACATTCATCGACCAATATCTATGCCCAACTGCTTCGCGGCTGCTTGAGGAGGAGCTATGATGACTAATTCGGTCACCGCGTGACTCATCTGAGTGTCAATCCAAAGGCATAAATTAATACGGGACATAGTGGGACTCTTCAAGAAGTCCAAGTGTCACACTTTGGCTAAACAAAGATGAAGGCGTTCTCCTCTACTCCAGAGCCTATTGAGTGGATAAAAACCAAGCGGAAATTGCATATCAAAAGCGAAAACCAGGATGACACAGCCTGCTTAGTAGATATTCGCACTTTTGTAATTACTGCCCATAGCCAGTAATTTTTGACATAGTTTGTTTTACTCAGCTACATAAAAATGCATGCACCACAAAAGATGCGCGCGATTATATGCTGTCCTGAACGAAACTATATAAACACCTCTGGCAAGTGAAGTGGACATTCTGGCTTTATCCTGCTCGTTTACTCTGGAGTTCTTTATACCCTTCTTCCAAGCTTCAGCCGCATCCATAAGCCAAGTTCTAAATGATGGTTGACGTTGCACATATCCCACATTGCTGGTTAATCTTTATCGTTCGTTTTAATGGGAAAGCTCTCGATGATCTGTTGTCTTAAGTTGAGTCTTAAGTCGCGTTGTTTACCGGAACAGTAGTTTTTGAGTTGGCGCAGTAAACGAAGGAGCCAAGCTATGAAATGGTGGTACGAGCTCTTAAAGGTACCGGGGCATTCTGAGATAAAAACTAGGCATCAGAAACCCGCGTGCATTTAAAAAAATGATTGCTACCCTCCCATGATATACGACACAGACTACATTTTACGTGTAAGCGGCTGATGAGGCGCCAATTTAATTCTCATTGCGCTAGACTCCTTGTGCATCAGTTTCGTCTCTTGACAATTTCATTTCTGGGATGCAATATTTTGAACAGATTATTTATTGGAACCATTTCTGTGTTTAATTCCAGGCTTCAGAATACATATGGCTAAAATTCAGTGGGTCAGACGCCCCGCAAAAACCATGTGATCTGATGCTGAAAAGCTTTCATCCTTCCTGAGTCGCAACAAAAGTGTTTGGCACTTTCAGATTGGTGATCTCAGAGGTGTTCACTCACGGAACTCCTTAGGCTAGTTTCGAGTTTTGGTCTGGTCGAGTTATTCAGAAAGTGTTTGGATGTGAATATTCCGGAATAGCTGGTTCAAATAGTCATCGGCATTTACTGAGAACCCCGAACTGACTGAGAAATGGGCTTTTTAGTTATGGAACCAGCGGCTTGGTAAATTCAGGTTACTCATGATACTTTTGGCGCAACCAAACCTGACCATTCATCAGTAGTTATGCCAGCTGAATAAGTCAACAACTGGTGTGAACAATAATCACCCTTTGTACCCTATAATGTTCTTGCAGCGTTGACACTAGAGATTCGGCTGTGGCTCTCTAATTTGAAAATAACTGTATATTGACAGATGTTGTTCACATGAAACATTAACTTTCACTTGTTTACTGAAAACTCCCTGGAATTCCTAAGTTTAGCGCCTCCAGGTGGCAGAAGATAACGAACATCTGTCAAAATCGAAAGCAAATTAAAAAAAACACGGTGAGAAAAAACCGACGAAACATTTTCCCACCATGACATCGCTCTAAAACCAACTTAGTAATTAACTTGTACGAAGCATTAGTTTGCTCCTTTCACAACGTCAGCGAGTACTAGTATAGCTGATCTTGAACAAATACCGAATGCTCGGTCTGGTGACGAACTGCTACTCGCTCACAAACCACTTTCATTATGAAAAAGGGCTGAAGTGACCAAGCAAACTTTCCAATGATAGCTAAAGATATGTCAGCAAAAGTGCAATAATATCATGGGTTGAAGTTACATAAGTAATTGTCATTAGTGGGGTTGGTTACAAATCAGGACAGCTGCCTGAATGAAGCTGGGATAAGCGAGTTCAAGCAACCGAATTCTTTGCAATAGCAACAGTGGCAACAAAAGTAGAATATTCCTCATGCGATGGCAGAGGGACGGTCATTATGGCCTGTACTACATGAGTTTAGCATGCGTTGAACAACACATTGACAAGAAAGCCTTGGTTCTGAGAATGGCCAGTGTATCTGGTGAAATATCCAAACTTTAGTAATTCCCCAAATCTGAGGGTGTATTTATTTATGTTGCTATTTATGTTGCTTAGTGTCAGAAACGAACACCTGCTACCTTAGATTTATGGATTTCGTTGATGAAGTTAGGAGATTCGTTTCCTCTGATGGCCACAACCAAGACAAACTGTATTTCATATTTTTCCCTGGAACTGTTGTTGTCCCATGGATTGAGACGAAACATGTGATATCCACTGCAACGATTTGGCAGAAGGCAGCAAGAAAATTCACTACTACTTGCAAAATACGCAGTTGCTTCTAGTTTTGCAAGATAGAATCGCAGTCGAACTATTACAATCAACAAACATTGAACCTACTTGAGATTTTGACCCTGCTTATTTGTTTTTAGGCCTTATGTGTTTCTTTTAAAATATAACCTCCAACCTACCGATGGTTGTAGTTCCGCCCAAAAGTGCGGCTTGCGATGCTGTTAAGTACGTGTCCGCCACGGGGTCCTCAGGACAAGCAACGGTTAAATGGCAATCCAAATCCACTCCACCTAGTAATTACTGAAAATCTAAGCGAAGGTCAACTTACCTGGCAGTACATACTGGTCATTCACATCAATGATATTCGCCCCATCGGGCGCGTTGATGTTTGGACCCAAATCCCTGTCAAAAATTAATGGTTAATTCAAGGCGATTACTTGATTATTCCGTCCTGAATCAGGATATCCGCTTTCAATGACAAATCATGATTCACTACTATCCCACCTTTAAGAAGAATAACAGACCGTCCCTGTAGGATTAAATTAAAGTTAAAAAGACAGTTCTGCTTACACCAGCTGGCTCAGGCATCGTTTGCTGGCGAACATCAGGTCGGGCAGCCTCCGATTCGATAAGGTCGATAACCTGCCGCGTAGACCAATCGGTGAATCGAACATGGAGCTGTCACCCTATTGGTTGCTACGACATTGTGGGATGTGACAGACCCGTCGCATTTCCAGCGTGCTGGTTGGAAGACACCTAGTTTCATGACCATCACTTAGCGAATGAGAAAGCAGACCAGATGAAATTATTGGACAACCGGGTCATGTGTACAAGCCAACACAAACTGCAGTGCAGATTGCCGCAAATCCCGTATTTTTACAGATTAATGTTAGGGTGAGATTTATGACGCCGACGCGCTATTGATGAAGTTAATTTTGGAGGCTGGAAAATTCTTACACGGGACGTTACTGAACTCACTTTAGCATATTAATGCCCGAGGAAATCAGATCCTAGTTGAAGCCATTATGCTTAAAAGTGGTACCTATATTTTGCGAAATTGGTCTCATTCAACCAGGGATCCGTTAGAAGCAAGTGAAACTACATGCCTCTTGGCAACTCGCCTTCTTGGGAAGAACGAGTTTTTAGCTCCATAGCTACGAGGTCAGGTGATACTGCTCTGACATATAAGGTTAGAATAGGTAAATATACACTGTTTTGAGTACCTGGTCAAAACTAATCTTAGTAGTATCATAAATGCGGCCTTTACGCAACCGTTTCCCTCCGGTTTTGGCATGGTTACTATTAAGCTCACAATCATGAGATGAGACCAATTTTACTTCGTTTAAATCATAACGGTATCTAGGCTGGCATCAGAAGTCGCGAAAATTTTCCCGATCGTTCTAGTCATGGAGTCACAGGAGGTTATCTCGGCATGTATGAAGTTGAAGTGCGTTACACTCGAAGTCTTACGTCAGCAACCAACATA